AATCATGACCATTTTCGTTTATAAATAGATCCAATTCATCTTGTGGAATCCGTCTATGAGACTTGAATTTTTTGCAGGCGTATTCTGCCAATTTACCTGTCAAACCCTCGCGATATAATTGCATATATCTCCACGATTTCCAAGCAAACTTCCTAATTAAAACAATGCTTACCGAATCAAGTGCTTGCGGAACTGTTTCTTGCAAACCAGCCCACATATAATCACAATGATTTCTTGTGTAGTGTTTAGTCACCCCCAATACATCTCGATAAAGTTAAGTTCGTAATGGAATTTTGGAAAAAAAACGCATAAATGACCAGCACTTTTTATTAACTCTACAATGGCAGATTTTTGTGCAATAAAATCTGGCTGAGAGGCCATGATTTTTCTTGCACAACAGTTTATCTGCAAGGGATCTTTCACTGATTTTTTTATTCTTGCACATTCAACAATCTAAAGTTAACCCTTCCCTCCAAAGATTTCTTTCCATTAATACTCTCCTTATCCCTTTTGGTTGTCCTCGCATAGTGGAGTCGAGATGATTTTTATCGAATATCATTTGCTGAATTTTTTGTTGTCTATTAATATCAACAAAAGTCATCGATCGCATTATCGATTGTTTTCCTCCAGGTTCCAGATTCATTCTTCCTGCGACAAGAGCATCTTTTGCATATGCCACGTGATTTGTACTGTTATCAAAGACAAAAACAGTTGTCGCATTCAGAAACTTCACTTCAAAAATAGGTATTACTTTATGTTTGATTTGTTCCAATAAATGCTCGACGGTCCAATAACCTTCCTGGTTTTTGCCAGGTATAAGGTAGCAACGTGCCTCTATAGGAACATCTAGATGTATTGTTATCTCCTCTTCACTTAGTTTTAACCGACCACATGCCTCCGAAAGAAATTCGCTCACCATAATGGATCTCCCATTCCCCTTTTTCCGCAATGGCATTTCCCCATCTAATACCCAAATTCCCCTTTTTCCATCATTCGAGTAAAAGATACACTCATCATGAGTGACAAAAATTAGTTCGCATTCACCTACGCCAAGCACTGGTGAAATTGCATCCATCACTTCTCCTTCATACTTCGCCATTTTTCGTTCTAACTCCCTCATTGTTATCAAAAATTTCTTTCGATATGCAACGACATCCTCCCGCTCATGCCCATCGAAGTATATTCCTTGTCGATGTCTCTCAAACTAACATCCCAAAACATTCAACCACCTTTCCGCTGTTCGTAAACTGATTATTTTTTTGGTTTTGATGCATTCAGGAAAAATGACATTTTCAATGTATTGCTTAAATTGAGAGGTGCTTATTCCATTCATTTCAGATTCCTGCCATATCCATCATTGATATCATAATGCGATATCTTCATTATCAACAAGTCGCTTATGTTTTTGGTGTCGATCACATCGTGAAAGTGGAAATGATTCATTATATAAATAAGATTTAGCCAAAGCACGGATCCATTTAGCTGTATATGATTTTGGCGAGACATAGACAACATTCGCAGCTTCCTCGCTTGCCTGCATTTTACCATCACCATTATCTAACCGTACAAAATACTCATAAACGGTCCACCGTTTATTGTATTCGAAAGCTGTAAATATTTGTGCATTTTTTAGAAGATCTTCCCGAAGTTGATTAATCTTTTCGCATAATACTATAGACATTGTTTCTTCCTTGTCTAAATTAGCCGAAAATCCACCAGCAAATTCGCTCAAAGGGTTACTGTTGTCTAAAAAATCACTTACCGAAACACCTATCGATGCGTTCTTAGATCCAAAAAAACTTGTAATTTTACTTGATTCCTTTGCAGCATTTGCAAGTGCACCAGAAACACCAAACTTACGAT